AGGCTTGTTGCCAGGTACACTGCTTTCCACTCCTCTGTCCATCCATTCATTTCTGCCAGGAGCTCAAATTGTGCTCTATATGCTTCCCTTGGTGCCTTACCATCGAATTCCTCTGGCTTCCTTCATACTAGATCACCCCTATTGCTGACACTCACATTTGGAATGTGACTTCTGGCAGGACTGAAGATGTCTGCATAAGGGTTTAACTGCGGGGTCTGGAAGGGGCTTCCTGTTGTCTGGGGCTGATTAGGTCCATAGTTAACATATCCCCCCTTTGTAAAAGACAGTATATCATTCTTTAATGTATTTAATTCATTTGAAATTTACTAATCTTTCCCATTTGTTTATGCTGGGTTTCTCTCAACTGTTGGAGCCTTTCTTCTTGTTTACTTTCTTTCTCTTCCAACCACTGCTGTAGTCTCTCTTCTTGTTTATTTTCTTTCTCCTCCAACCACTGCTATAGTCTCTCTCTTCTTGTTTATTTTCTCTTTCTTCTTGTTTCTTTTCTTTTTCCTCCAACAACTGCGTATCTCTCTTCTTGTTTCTTTTGCTGTACTTGTATTGCTGGCATCAAATCTGCTAAGCTGTAGTTTGATTTGCCACTTCTCGTCTCCGTCTTTTTCTTCTTCTTTTCCATCCCACTTCTGACACCAATTTGTTATGTATCTGCTCATTTGATAATTTCCTTAATTTCCGGTATAAATTTTTTCCAAGGACCTTTAGCAATACAAGTCCTTTCTTAATTGAAACTGGTTTATTATTTCTCGATACGAATTTGTAATACACAGAATTTCCACAGTCGCTTTGAACTTAACAACCTTCATACACACGCTATAAATCACAGTGGTTCACACACTTTACTTACGGTGCCTACTGTTCACTTGACTCAATTATCTATATCTTTAATCTATCTTTTCGATCTATCTGCATATATTTTCAATCGCTGGCTTTATTTGCCGGGCTTATATACTAAAAAATAGAGCACCTGGTTAACACTCGGACATTCGCGAGGTTCCTGGATAAGTAATGATCCTTCTAGAAACTCCAGCGCGTATGCTCCCAGCGTCGCGTGACTTCCGCTGTCGTAACAATACAAATAGCATCTGGACTAGTACCGTGTTTGTCATATTCCACCTAGAAGGTCTCTTTGGCACAGGATATGTGAATATAGTGGTTGACACATTCTTCTTTACTTTCACTTTTAAATTCCTTAATTACTAATGTACTCTTCTCCCTTGATGTTGTGGTTGCTTGACCCGCTCTGGACACAATAAGATTGACTTATTGGTTTGGCAATTCCTCTGAATGATGAGCAAAGTAAATTTAAGAAAAACTAAACAGTAATAATAATAATTATTGTTAAAAAAACAAACAATAGTGTGTTGTTAAACCTTACCCTAAGTTGTGATTTGTAAACGACTCATAAAATTGATAAACATTATCTTCACCAACTTAATTTGGTTCGTAACATAACAGTTCTTACTCATGCAATTTTATAATATAAACTAGAGTACAGCCCGTCAAAAATAATGGGGCAAATAATATCACCCCCACCCCATAGTATATCCTAACCTCACATTTCATAGCTAACTTAAATAAATAAATTTTGCGAAATCAAGCTTGACCAACAAAGAGGCAGAAAAGTGTAGTAAAATGTCGGTAAATTCCTTTGTGAGCCAATCAAAATTAAGTTGGTTGGTTTTGAATTTCGCGCAAAGCTACACGAGGGTTATCTGCGCTAGCCGTCCCAAATTTAGCAGATCACACATGAAATGAATTCATGGCGTATTCATAGAGTAATTATCGGTAAAAATCAGTTATATTAACAACTTCTAATGTGTAGAACAGCCAGTGCGTTTGGTAACACTACGTTCCAACAATAGCTTTTATGTCATGTTGCTTAGCGCCAAAAGTATAATCTAATATTGTTGTTAGTCTATGTACGGAAAATATAAAATGAAATGTACAGACAACAAAACTGGAAAATATTTGTTGATTTCTTAATTTAGAGACTCTGTTGATTAAAGAGGTTTGTTTGTTTTTATTAAAAACGTTGGGG